GGTCCTTGCTTGTAGCGCTGAGCGAGAATTTTCGCTCAGCGTGACCCAAGGGTCCTTGCCTTCCATGCTGGCCTCACCATAGAGGTTGCAGCTTCGACAGTTACCAAAATGTGCTGGGATTGAGAAGGCCTAAATCGGGAAAAATCTGGAAAGAGTACATTTTTTTGTGTGAATATGCTTGGCTAATCCTATGCTAGGAATGCAGGAAAAAATGCCACCCATCAAATGTTATGTTTTTACTTCTTCACCAACCATTTCCTGCCAGCAGAAATAAACAATATCAACAGTTTCCCAATCTTGGTTCTCAATTCATGTCTGTTTTTTCTCCATTTCAGTGCTCTTGGGCACAAACTGTTATTTTAACTTGCTTGTATAAATATATTTGTTGGTTGAGTCAATAAAATCAAAACACTTGATAAATACAAAATATGAATGTAAGATATATTTCTTTGGTACTCTAAATCACACTTGTATTTGAAATACACACACAAACAGAGTCAAGACAATATTCAAGAAGTCTTGCTAAATTATTGCAAGTTTTCTTGAGATTAATTGCTAGAGTCAGGTCCAATTCTCAGATAAGATTCTTCTGATGAGTTTCAGGGAGAACACAAATATATATAGACTTTTGGACATTGGGATCATGACATGATTCTGGATTAAGAGATGCATAGCCAGGTCTTGGGGCCAGGATGTGTGTCTCAGAAACTAGTGCAGAATATATTCAAGAATAGATAAAACCAAATTCAAGGAACAGCAATTACAGTTTGTAACTGTCAACAGGAAGGAACAGCAATTTGTGCTGTTGCGGTGAAATGGGTCATGCATATTCATGTCGGGTAGCGCAAAAAGTTGTCAAACCAAAACAGGGAGAAAACTGCTGGCATGGGAAAGTCTTGTTCCCATGATCTTCTTATTTTGGGAAGGAAATAAATATAAAAGAAACTCGAAACAAAGTGTCGAGTATTTTGTCCGATAACCAAACATTCTCAAAATATCCAAACTTTGCTGTAGTAAGCCATCTCAGAGAGATTAAAGGAATTCAGACTGGGATTAGCTAATTTTGCAAGATGAGAAAGGTATTTATCTCATACAGAGGTTCAACTGAGTAAAATACAGGTCCATGGGTGTGTATATTTTAGTAATTGAAAAAAAATATATATATGTCACTCAAACCAAAAGCACATTAGTCAAAATGAAATGAATCATAGTAAGTAAGACAGTGGCTGCTGAAGTAAAATGTGTTGTGTATATAGATGGAGCTGAACCGCCGCAAATGCCTCCGCTGCCTGTGGCACGGGGACGCCAAGGGCGTGCAGCACATCATGTACCGCCGCGGACTGGACGTGAACGCCCCCCTGAACGCCGCCGGCGAGACGGCCCTGCATTTGGCCTGCGGACTGGGCGACGAACCCGTCGTCCGGCGCCTCTTGCGCAACCTCGAAGCCGACCCTTGGCGTCTCGACGGCCGAGGCCAGACCCCGTTGCACACACTGGCCCAACGCGGGTTCTCTGTCGCGGTGCTGAATGTCCTGTTGGAGACTGTGGGCAAGCCGGAAACGACGGCGTATTTGGGCGTGAATGCGACGGCGACGGGGCTGACTGCTGTCGACATGGCGGCGCTGTCTTTGGCACGCCCGAGCAACAATATCCCCGGCGGCGACGCGTCGGCCGCCAAATTGCTCTTTCTCACTACTCTGATTGGGAAATTGCCGTCGGATCAGCAACAGCCGGTGCCAAGCCTCAGTTTGCATTGGGCGGCGCAGGCTGCTGACCTGACTACTATTCGCCATCGCCTTAGGTCTGCCATTTGTGTCTGTTCACAATAGTATTATTTAATCTTGTATAAGCAGGGTTTTCACAATTTTGTGCATGTTGAACCTCTCGGTAGGAAAGTCGGGATATTTTCACAATGTATTGTGTGCCGATGAAGAGCACAGAAAAAATTATCATTATGTGAGAACTAACGCCTAACTTGGGAAAAATTCTAGGATTTGTTTTTCCTCGGGCAGAAATGTTTTGCTGAAAAATAGTTCCTTGCTGGTGGTGTTTTTCAATACATTTTTGGAAGAGGATTAGCATTGAAGATTTCTGAAAACAAAAGGATTCCCCATTCCCAGATTTTTCCCAACTTAGGCCTTCCCAACCAAAGCATTTTTTGATGACATTGGGTCAAATTGAAATATTTCTATGAGCCAAAAAATCTTAACTTTGCTGTGGGATGGAAATGATGCTGCTACCATCTGAGGATTGAAACAAACTATATACAACTATATATATACAACAAACTATATTTTGAGATATTATCTGCTGCAGTCAAATCTCGATTCAGCAACCAGCTGAATGGATGCTGCATGCAAAGTTTTCATACCTCATGGGTTGCACCGATTGTGTCTGTCTGCTACTCTGATGATACCAATTTTGTGGGTTATCCACAAAAAAAACATTGAAACTTGAGCAAAATTAAAATCGCAATCTTTTAGGGAACTCTGACAAGGGATTTCTCAGTAGGAATCAATGAGAAATTAGAGTGAAAACGTAATTCTCAAGAATATTCATATAGCACTGAAAATTGAAACTGAGAACTTCGTCCATGCGTCAGAAAATTATTCTCCAGTAGATTGTAAATAATTAAAGTAGATATAAAATTCCTAAAGCTGTGCAAAGTTTGAAAGTACTGTACTGCAACTGTTTCGACTCCTTAAATGGTAATGATTGAATTCTCTCATGATTGAATTCTAGTAATTTTTTGCATTTCTTACTTGGAATCTACAATGTTCATGATCCGGTGCATTTTAAAAATTACATTGGACCGGTGCATTTTGAGAATTGGATTTCCGCCGAAAAATTTAATCGGGATGGTTATTTGTTCGACGAAATCCATTCAATTGACACGGATTTTCAAACTATATAGAAACCTCTCCCCATGAGACCGTAAGCAGTTTCGAAAATGAAAAGAAAATTCCACGTGACTGCAGTGTTGGGTATGAAACTTCAATACTTTTTTTGAAATCAAAATGAAATTTTCAATTAACGAACTGCAGCCATGAGATATTGATATCAACCATCAGCACCTACTGCACTACATATTTCAGGAATTACGAAACCTCGTTCTCGCAGAAATTTTTCATAGTCCGATAGTCCGACGCACATCAGTTTTTTGCTCACATCAGTTTTTCATCATTGAGAAAACTTGCTCTCCAGACGTTTCTTTTCTTCAACAACACCTTTCCAATTTCCTTCTAATCGTGATGCCTTTACTCGTCTATTTTTAATGCAAATGACCGCGATAGTCAAACAGGTGCGAACCCGAATGCCGAGGATCTCTGCGGCATGACCCCTCTTCACTGGGCAGTTCGAAATCACAGCCTGGCTGCCCAAGACAGGGTTGTGCAAGCGTGTGCTGTCCTGATGAGTGCGGGTAGCAAAGTGAACAAACGGGATCGCTTCGGTTTCACGCCACTACATAGATGTCGCCTACCGCGAGTATGCGCTTTCTTGGTGGAAAATGGCGCGGACCTCGAAGCGAGGACACGTCTATCAAGTGAGAACATTTATGGAATCGTTTTATTATTGTTGTTTCTATTTTGGGAATACAGAACTACGGAGAAGTTGAGAAGGATTTTTTGGTGACCTGGTAGTGAACAAGTTCTCGAATAAGTGAATCAGCATATCAGCGTGCTATTTCTCTCCTTTCTTTTCTACTAGGAAAAGAGTGTTTTTTGCGAATAATTTTCATGATATCCGTTGCTCACGCAAATTCGGGAGCTCGTACTTCTTGAAAATGATTTCTCATACTCAGTTATCGTGGATGTTTAAATGTTACTGCATGATGATATTCACCATGAATGCTTTTGATAATAAAAATATGCAATCCGCCAAAAATAAAAATTCTTTTCGTCGTATTTTTGATTCTCACTTCGAATTGATTTCATCATCATAGCGACATTTCTGGAACATGATGAGTTAAACAACCGCCAATACGATTCGATTGCATGCCTTGCTAGGAATCCCTAATATATTAATTGTAGCGAGATTTTTTGAGCATTTTTTGACGGTCTTCCCGTAAGAAACTTGAAAATGTGCTTCTTAAAAATGACTCTTAGCTGACAGAATTTGTTTTGACGGAACCACACCTCTGACGGATGAGTTATTGCAATGAAAGGTGTCTGAAGACTCTGAACTAACCAGTTATACGGTGGGTCCGCATACTTCTCACATCACAAAATTAATATATTTCTTTTTTTCTTCTTCATGTGATACTTCAAATTTTGTGAATCGCCCTTTTATTCCCTTACTGAGAATACGTCAAGACCATTTTAGTGTTTTCGCGATAATTTAAAGGCAATGATGAAAAGATTTCAAACTGAAAAATTTATCATATAGGTATACAGTACCTATATGCTTCTATAAATTGAGGCGTTTGCCTTCATTTTGAAAAATCAGGGAAATTATGCTGCATCTTTTTGTTTTGAAGTACAGTACGATAATTTCATGTTGATCTTCACGTGTACACTCATCTGAGGTCACACCTCACAAGAGGAATTTCTTTTCGATTCCAGTTGTTCCATGTTTGAGTAAGCAATAAGGTTGGAACGCTGAAAATTACTTCCGAAAACACAATTAAGAGATTGTGATTCAGGTAAGGTGAAAAATTTCAATTCAACGTTCTCAAGTTGAAAAAAAATGTTCCCGTTGGGTCTTGGAATTATTCGTATATTTTTCTTCTGCCCCAAAGCTTAATTCCGTAATGCACAATATTTCGTGGTAATCGTGTATCGTTATATGGGGACTCGGGACTCGCGGTATGTTCCAGATTCTGATCCAGGAGTCTTCCCTGCTGGAAGCTCATTTTCTAAATGAAAAAAAATCGTACAAATTCGCAGATGGACCCAGGTTGACAGCTTACGATTTGGCAGTGCGCAGAATGCCTCTGTCGACTCGCCTGGGCTTCAACAGAAGTCACGATGACGAGCACAAAATGCCCTGGCGAACTGTGCAGGCCCTAGAGAAATCTGCTGCTGCCAGGTACCTGCTCTCGTCCGGGCCGTTCTTGACTGACCAAGCAGAATCCTGTTTTCGAGTTTACAGTTCTGTCATCACTATGAGAGCTGCGCATGAAGCCAGAAGGTGCTGGGAAGAAAATGCCACAAAATATGTTGCTTTTTTACATACAGTATAGTACCGTTTTTGGGGTCATCCCGAAATTATGCATATATGACGACCTGACTACATATACTGTACTAAGGATTCGAATTATAGGGAATTTCAGAGCTCGATTGTTTGCCAATGTATCATATGTAGTCATATTAACGACCACAACACCCTTCACTTTACGCACGACCCTTT